TCTATAAATGATTCAAGTAAAAGTAGCTCACTACAGACTTTACACTTTAACACTTGAGCATTTTAACTGCAGTGGCTGCAAATTTACCTCTTGTATCTGTCTTGAAAAGTAAAAGAATTGAAACCATGTGCCTCATTTAAAATACACTACCTGCATCAATTGGTATACCTTAAGGAACTGTGCAGACATGACAGTTTCATCACATCAGGAATGTCACGATCAAGTGTTGTGTTGTTGAGTAGAAGGGTGAAGGGCTCGAGTAGTGATCTTTTAAAGATGGCACCCGTGTAGAAAATCTTAACTGGCTGAGTGGAGCGCTGGATTGCATTATCAGCAGTTTGGCTCAGGCTGGTCAACGCACATTCCTGCAAAATTGAGTCCTCCTCCTCCTCCTCCTCCTCCTCCTCCTCCTCCTAATTATCCAGATGATTACTCTTGCAATTCAAACAACTGGCGAACGATAGTCTCCACTGTCCTCATACTTCAACATGTAATATGGTCCAAGAAGTCAAGTAATAGCTGATAGCTGCTGTAATGTAATCTAGAAGTTGGCTTGCTTATTAAGGACTAGATTATCCCATTTGTAGAGGCAATGCATTACATATCTGACTCAGCAGTGACTTGATTAGGTTTCTGTTGATGTGTAAAGTCATGTCACATCGATATACTACACTTCTCATTGGTAATATACAGCCATTTCTAAAGTACATTCGGGAGATCACTGGCTTCATTTCTCATTCATATAGTATTCTCTGACCTTTGATATATGTGACATGAAGACAGAGGATCTCAGGTGGGGATCTCAGATCTAGCATTGCATATTTACACAGGGAATATTGTCCATCACAACCTCTTACAGAATTCAAGCAGGAGGTAAACACACAGCTGTGCATTTGTTGGAGTAAATGACATTGCAGTGGCGATACATATACATTTGTATTTGTTACCATGGCAAATAGTATGGCAGAAAGGTCTCTGACATTGGAAAGAAAGTGCAAATATCTGAACATGACTACTTCTCTTTATGCATGTGTAATGTTGAACATAAAGTGTAAGAAGAAGGGTTAGATGTATGTGAGAGTATATAACAGGAAAGGGTGGGGAGATTTTGATAATTTCTGAAAGGAACATAATCCACCCCCCACTTGCTCTCTCCCTCTCTGCCACCTCCCTCTCTCTCTCTCTCTCTCTCTCTCTCTCTCTCTCTCTCTCTCTCTCTCTCTCTCTCTCTCTCTCTCTCTCTCCCTCTCTCTCTCTCCCTCTCTCTCTCACTCACTCTCTATCACCGCCTTTCAGATCTTTAAAAGCTGGTGCTTTGCTGTGTCTCTCTCGATCTCCATTTGTCTCCTCTGGCACTGCAGGGGACTCAACCGGCAAAGCACCAAGGAAAGCTACTGTATAGAAACGGGAAGAAGACTGAGGAAAGGGGAGAGAAAGGGAGAGAGAGTGAGAGAGAAATATACATCCAGAAATAGCATCAGCCACATTTAACTGACAGAGAGTGACAGTGTGGAGAACCTGAGACCTGGACAGAAAATGCCTATCCTTTCTAACTTAACAACCGTTGTTTTGTTGCTGATTGCCCACTGCGGATCATGGACCGGGGCAAACCGCTTGGGGCCCTTCAAGGTCTGTCCCTCCTGCAGGGATCCACTGGGGGCAGGTCGGCCCACCAGGGACCATAATGTTGCCGGCAGCACGTCAGTGTTGGCCCAGGGAGAGCCCTGTGGTGTGTACACGCTGAGCTGTGCCAAGGGGCTTCGCTGTGTTCCCCCACCACGGGAGCACAGCCCCCTCCAGGCTCTATTGCAGGGAAGGGGCATTTGCGCCAAGCACAGCAGGACTAGTCCCACTGAGAGGCCCCCCCCCACAGGTAAGATACTGTATATACACACACACACGTGCATGGAATCACATATGCACACGAACATGTATGCACATGCATGGACACTGCAGGTAGCCTTGAAATGTCAGTGGTTTATTGAGGATATTGTCACAGACACCACATATAATTGTACATAAAGTGTGCCTCTTGTATATCTGTAAATCGCATGTGATGCTGTGTCACTCACCAACAAAAAGAAAGGCCAATTAGTGTGTGACATTTAAGCCTGGATGCATTTTGTGCACCACAGATGAATTTGCAAGCCTCCACAATCCAATACTGCTCTGCAGTGCCTCTGGAGCCACTGTGATAAAAATGTCAGTTGTCGTTACAGTTCTGTTGTTAATCATAAATATGGAAAATCCCCAAAAACACAGGGGTTATTTCTGAATTATTTTCACTGAGGTTTTATTTAGTCTCAGGGTGTTGCAACAATCTTTAAGTTGAGATGCATTTATATGATTTGTACAGTGTCATTTATTCATCCATTCCAATGACAGCATGCATGACAATGATCTTTCCTACAAGTCATGCTCTCTGTAGAGAATTTAGAGTGAATGTGAAACTGACACTGTGTCACCTACGTCCTGATCAAGCAGCTTTTTGTTGCAGTGA